AAACAAGTTTTTAATCAACATCATTACTTTATTAGTAAAAAATCATTAAAGACATGCTTTTCCCTAGTTAAAATGATAAACGATCCTTAAATAACATCCATTTCTAACTTTTTGTATCATCTCCTATCTGTTCGCATTCATATTTACCTGTAAGATTAGAAATGAAATAATTTTTTTTGAACAAAAAAAGAAGTTCATATATCCAATTCGACTGTCTAAAATGTTTCTCTCTGATTTTATTTAACAATTGTATCAGATACGATATCAATGTAAATGAAACGGAGGATAGGTTGAATTTTAATCAAGGTAATAATTAAGAAAATAATATTACATTTATTAGACACATTAAAAAAAACTTTATCTCGATAGTTGTTGAAATTCAGCAAAAACTACATTATGATCTGTCGCTCCTTTAGTATCAATAATTGAACAACTTGTTAAATTCCAATGATTATTAATGCGTGGATGTATATAAACATAATCAATACGTGTTCCATATGAACATGTTGCTATTTGTTCATCTTGAAATGTTGGATTTATCGTTTTAAAAGCATCTTGATAATTCCATTCGTGTGTTATTAATTGAGTTAGATCAAAATGAGCTGATTCCCAATTAGATTTTTTACGTTTTGCAACAACAATATCCCGATAATAATTATCAGAATAATCTTCTCGTGTTAAAGCATTCATATCACCCATAAGTATATCGATATTGTGCTCATATGGATTAAATTGTTTGATTTGATGTAATCGAGTATCTTCATCTAAATGATCTAAATGTGTAATAGCAAATGTTAAATTTTCTACACCATCTAGACAACAGTGAAGTACAGATCGAACGCCACCTTTACAGAAAAAATTTGTTTTTTGAACAGAATACGAACGAATTGCATATCGTGATGCAATACCATTACAAAAAGCACCATCCTCTGGTCCATATGCAGAAAAAGGTAAAGAAAGACGTTGACAAAAATCTTTCCATTTATCATTATTTTGCATTTCTTGAACAGCAATTACATCGAGATTGAGTGGTTGAAGAATTGATATTAATTGAGAAATATTATTGGAAAAATAAAGAGGTTTACAAAAAGAATGTACATTAATTGTTGCTACACGTAGTGTTGTCATTTTTTACGAGAATATTGAATGAATTGTATCATCATGTGTTTTTTTCGTTATTTGCTTTTTACCTGAGTTGAGTGAAATTTTTTATCATTTCTCTTTCTTCCGAAAATGATACGAGTCAGAGTCATTGATATTTTTTTACTACCGTTCTTTGCATCTGGTCATATCTAAAAGAATTTTTAACAAGAAATAAATTACAATTCAATTCAGCTCATTTGAAAGATAAAGATCGTCGATCACTACTATTTAGCACTGTACTTGTAAATTTAAATTGTTCAATCGTTGTTTGATGAATCTTTACAACAAATAAATGCAAAATAATTCATGTTAAGGTATTAGCGATAATACTGAAATCAAAGACATGAATTCATTAATACAAACAAAATAATCATAATAAATTAGTCGATCAAATGCATGATAAATTCTAGGTGATACAATTTGTTTGCATTCATCCGCTTTATAGATAATAGTATTGCTTAGTCATAGTTATACGAACGATTCGTAGTATATTAAATTGTTTCGATATTTTTTACAATATGAAACAGCCAGGAATCAGTGAATCTACTGCTTTTATAATTTTGTTTTTTTTGGTTGACAAGCTTTACCTTCGATTGTTTGACTTGTGATAAGAACCTGATAAATTTAATTTGGATATAAATAAATATGTTGATGTCATCAATATATATCCTCAAGTATATCCTCTTACTCCAATGCGCAATAAAATCGTGTAAATATAAAACTAATTAAAAATGATTACATTACTATTTTATAATTTGATGCTTAAAAAAAACACCAATAATGCTATAGATAGACTCTTACATAATTAAATGTATAAGACAATAACGACCAAGGAGAAGAAAAGATTAAAATTTACTGTGTATAAAATATTCAACGAATAATTGTCAACGGTAAATACGACAGTCAAAAGTTCTTTTCATTTAAAAACCAATGATTCAATCAGTATTTATTTTAATGAAAAGAAAAAGAATATACTTATACATTTCACTGACAACATAAATATA